ATATTTCTCCCAATTCAATACCAAGTTCATCTCTTCACATATTGCCAAGACCTAATTTCAAATTTTTCAAGCAATCATCAAAAGAATTCCCAACCATCGAAAAGTCATCCATGAAGACTTTAAGGAAATCCTCCACCATATCCGTGAAGATAGCCATCATACACTTTTGAAAAGTCGCCGGTGCATTGTATAATCCAAATGGAATCCACGAGAATGAGAAAGTACTATAAGGACATGTGAAATTATCTTCTCTTGATCCTCTGGAGCAATAAAAATTTGATTGTAGCCGGAATACCCATCAAGGAAACAATAGAAAGCACGACCGGCCAACCTATCAAGCATTTGATCTAGGAAGGGAAGTGGGAAATGATCCTTCCTTGTGACTTTGTTGAGCTTGCGATAGTCCATACACACTCTCCACCCGGTCACCGTTCTTGTAGGAATCACTTGGTTCTTGTCAATTGTAACCACCGTCATGCCCTCTTTCTTTGGGACACATTACACCGGAGAGGTCCACGAACTATTGGAAATGGGGTAAACAACCCCTGCATCTAACCACTTGATGATCTCCTTTTTGACCACCTCTTACATTGCTTAATTTAGCCTCCTTTGATGTTCAATGGAGGGTTTGGAATCTTCCTCCAAATTAATCTTGTGCATGCAAAATGCGGGGCTTATTCATCGAATATCCGCCAATATCCATCCAATAGCTTTCTTCCTCTTTTGTAGCACCGCCAATGTGGAGTCTACCTGTACGTTAGTCAAACAAGAGGAAAGAATAACCGGTAAAGTGGAACAAGGTCCAAGGAATTCATACCTGAGATGCGGAGGCAATGGCTTTAACTCCAAAGTGGGAGGCTCCTCGATTGAGGGCTTTGTAGGAGGAGTTTTCCTATTTTTGAGATCGAAGGAAAGTTTCTGAGGTGCATAATTGTATGACCCCATCCCTTGCAAAGAATTTACACATTCCATGAAGCCATCCATTTCCTCATCATCAAAATTTAGCAAAATGGCCTCCACCATGTCACCCACATTAATCGTGGCACTTGTATCATCAATAATAACATCGGTCACCAAGTCCACGAACGAACATACTTCATTGCTATTCGGTTACCTCATAGATTTGCACACGTGAAACACCGCCTTTTCATCACCAACCCGGAATGTAAGTTCTCTGGCTTCTACATCAACTAGAGCCTTCCCCGTAGCAAGGAAAGGTCTCCCAAGAATAATCGGCACCTCATAGTCCACTTCACAATCAAGAATAACAAAATCCGCCGGTAGAATGAATTTATCAATATGAACCAACACATCATCAATTATATCTAACGATCTCTTCATGGTACGATCCGCCATTTGTAATCTCATAGATGTGGATCTTGGTTGCCCAATTTCCAAAGTCTTGAAAACTGAATAGGGCATCAAATTGATACTTGCCCCAAGATCACAAAGAGCTTTAGCAAAGTTGGCACTTCCAATGGTACAAGGGATTGTGAAAGCACCAGGATCTTCCAATTTAGGAGCCACTGTGCACAATTGCACTCACTTGATGATTCATCTTTATAGTTTCACAATTCATCGACCGCTTCTTTGTCACCAAGTCCTTCATGAACTTTGCATAACCGGAAATTTGCTCCAAACCTTCAACCAATGGCACATTAATAGATATAATCTTCATCATGTCAATGAACTTTTTGAATTGATTCTCTCTATTTTGCTTGGAAAGCCTTTAAGAATAAGGAGGAGGAGGCCTTGGCATTGATGCCTTAGCCTTTGGCACTACCGGTTCCGGTATTTCAACAATGTGCTCCCTATACGAGTTCACTTCTTCTTGAGTCTCCTCCACATTGTCATCAATATCAATTCTTACTTCATCATTTGCTTGCACCACATTATTTAGGATCTCATCTTCTTGTACCACTTGCTCATCATCCACAATTTTCCTTTGACTTGAGGTGGGTGTATCCCCACCTTTTTCACTCCTTGTAGTCACGACCATGGCATGTACCGTGTTGTTCCCATCCTTTGGGTTCACCACTGTGTCACTTGGTAGTGCCCCCTTAGGACGAGTGTTTAAAGCTTGCGAAATTTGCCCCAATTGAACTTCCAAATTGCGAATTGAAGTGTTGTGAGAGGCTAGTTGAGCATCGGAGTCGGCATTATTCTCCATCATTTGTTTGAACATATTCTCAATTCGCCTCATCTTATTATTGGAAGAGCTTCGACCCTGGGAAGGATAAGGAGGTGGGTTGCTCGGTTGTTGATACATCGGGGGCCTTTGAAAGCCCGACCCCCGATTTCTTTGGTTATTGTTCCATCCCCTTGGTTATTGCCTCCCCAATATCCTTGACTATTGCTACTCCAATTACCTTGGTTATTTTGACCATTCCAATTTCCTTGATTGTTTTGATTGTTCCAAATCCCTTGGTTGTTTTGATTGTTCTAATTCTCTTGATTACCATGAGGCCTCCATTGTTCTTTTCCCTTGGATGTTTTTCACATATTGTACTTCCTCCTCTTGGTCGTTATAAGATTCATCTTGATCAAACCCACTATCTTCTTGCACATAATGTTCCGCACGGTTTTGCACTTGAGGACCCTTTTTCCTTCTCTTGTTTACCATTATATTAACTCCCTCCATTGCATTGACTTGCTTAGGACCTTGCACTTGTTGAAGTTGAGTCTTGGCTAATTGATTCATTGTGGTGGTCAACTCGGTAATTGCTTGCCCATGATTATGCAATTCTTTATGTAGGTGAATCACGTTTGGATCACCTTGAGGAACATTTGCTCTACTTTGCCATGCCGATGAAGTATCCGCTATTTCATCTAAGATCTCACAAGCTTCCGCATATGGCATTGTCATGAAATTTCCACCAGCAAGTTGGTTGACCACGCATTGATTGTTTGTATTGATCCCCCTATAGAAAGTTTGTTGAATCATAGCCTTCGTCATGTTATTTTTTCGGAACTCTTTCATCATAGTTCGGTACCTCTCCCATATTTCATGCAACGGCTCATTGGGTTCTTGTTTGAGTGCTAGAATCTCATTTCTAAGAGTAGACATATGCTCGGGAGAAAAGAACTTGGAAATAAATTTCTCTGCCAATTCATCCCATGTTTGGATGGAATGGTTTGGCAACCTTTCTAACCAATCCAAGCCTTTCCCTCGTAGAGAGAAAGGAAATAGCCTCAACCTTAAAGCATCCTCAGAGACGTTTGTCTGTTTACTCCCCCAACAAGTGTCCACAAACCCTTTCAAGTGTTTGTACGCATTTTGATCTGGAGCCCCGGTGAAGAATCCCCGTTGCTCTAGCAATGTGAGCATAATATTTGTGATTTGAAAGTTGCCTGCCCTAATGCGGGACGGGACTATGGAACTTGCATACCCTTCATTCGGCAACACCCGGTGTGGAGCCACTCTTGGTGGATTTGGGGGTGGAACGGGAACGTTGTCTTGAGGCGGTCGACCTCGTCTATTTGCTTGAGGTTCAAAATGAACCTCTTCAACTTGGTCATCTTCCACGTCCACATCCCCCAAAGGCATGTTACCGAGAGGATCATTGTTGTTGAGAGCCATTGTTTCACCTAAAATTGTTTCACCAAAAAGATTAGTAACACGGAAGGAAAAGAAAATAATTCACACACAAAACCAAATATATAGCTAAATCCGTTTTTAGCTCCCCGACAACGATGCCAAAAATTGATCTCGTCCAAGTCACACCTCTATTCAGGGTTGTAAGACGGTCGATTGCAATTATAATACCCAACAAGGAGTCGGGATCGAATCCATAGGGAGTTGAGATGGGATTAGTGGTATATATTTGGATAAAGCACATGAAATATCTTGGTTGCACTTCCACAAATATGGTTTTGTTTTCACTTCTAAAATTACGTTAAGGATTATAATTCTAAAGATATAAAACTAGAGAATATTGTGTCTGGATGGTTTTCAAATATATAAAAAAGCCTAGGGGTATGACCTTCACCTAGGTGTTTGCCTAACGGGTTGTAAACTTTAAAGCTTGTTTTGTTGGTCGGGGTGTATTATAGCAATCAACACTCAAATACCCACTCAATACCTCTCGGTAAGAAAGCGATTTTACCCAATTTGGCTTTCTCAAGTCCAAATGGGTATTGAACAAAACAGTTGATAAAATGCTCAAGTCGGGTTTTACTATCTCTAGGTTCAACCCTTTAATTGGGACAATCAATCTCTTGATTTTATCCCAAATTCTTGTTAGCCAAGTTTTTCTAGACTAAGTCTCTCTTTCTCAAATAGAGACCAAGTCAAATAGGCATAAACTAATATTTACAACAATTAATTCTACAATTAAAGGCAAGAACAAGGCTAAATAATAAACACCCAACCATAAATCAAACACCCATTAGGTTCACACACTAGGGTTGGGTCACAATCCTAGCTAAAACTCTAGCTACTCATAATGGGTATAGAAGAAAATAAAGAAGAAAAGATGATAAAACTCATATTGCAAGATTAAAAGATAAAAATTCAATGTTAAATCACCAAAGTAAGCTAAAGTTGCCTAAAGGGGTAAGTAAAAATGGCTATAGGACTTTCAATCTTCAAAACTTGACATAATTTCTGAAAGTAGTATATTTATATAAAGCTGGAATTTTCGAACAAAATTTCCCTTTCGGAGGTTCTACGGCCGCACAATTGTATGTGCGGTCCGCACTTCTCTTTAGATCTTGAAAGGAGTTGACTTTGTGGCCGCACAATTCTGGATTGCAGCCGCATCTCTCATGTTCTGCGGTCCGCGCAATTCTAGGTGCGGCCGCACTGGGCTCTTCTGCGGACCGCACATTTCCTGAGTGCGGTCTCATAGTTGTTTCTATGTCCGCACAATTATTGTGCGGTCCGCATTTCTTCTTGAGCTTGAAATAATACTCTCTGAACTTTGGCTCTTACGTAGCTTCTGCGGCCGCACAATAGTTGTATGGTCCGCACTTTGCACTGGGGCTCTGTTGATTTTCCTTCACATTCTGTGGCCGCAGATAAAAATCTGCGGTCCGCACTTGAGCTTCTGTGCCTGATTTTTGTCCTTATTCAGATCACTTCTCCTTGAGTTGAATTTCATCGTAGTGGCTCTTTTTCCACTACTCCTGCAGGTAAGCATATTTCATCAGTTTTCAGGAATATAATTAGACACTTTTGGACTAAAACGAAAGCTAAAAGGCGCTAATAAGTAGTCAAAATTCTCACTTATCACTCATCCCTCTTCGAAAAACATGAGTTGGAAATCACCAAATCAAAGGCTTTAGCACAGTCCAACAATGAAGTACCTCCATCGTTCTTAACTCCAAAGCCTAAGCCGCCATGCACACTGGCATACCCCCAGATGTCTCCCTAATGTGACCATTGAAGTCACCTCATATGAATAACTTCTCGGTGAGCGGAATGCCACGTACCAACCCGTCAAATTCATCGCAGAAGCACCTCTTAATCTCCTCGTCCAAACCCACTTGAGGCGCGTAAGCACTAATCACATTTAAAGTAGACCCTCCCACAACTAGTTTAATATCCATCAGCCTGTCGTTAACCCTCCTAAGTTCTACCACTAGCTCCCTAAGATCCTTGTCAACCAAGATACCTACCCCATTCTTACCCCTCTCGCGTCCTGAGACCCACAATTTAAACCCATCAATATCTCGAGCCTTTGACCCCACCCATCTAGTCTCATGGACACAAGCTATGTTGATCTTCCTCTTCTGGAGGATCTTCGCTAACTCTATAGACTTTCCTGTCAAAGTTCCTATGTTCCAGGACCCCATTCTCAGCCTAGAGACTCCCTTGCCACCTTTTCCCCCCATCTCACCCCACCCGAGGACATGACCTTATTCCACCATTACTCACCCCAACCATTATAATCTATGAAATATTATGCTAGAATTGTCGCTAAAATAGACAAAGGATTAAACTAAAGGAAGCAGGTCTAACACTTACAACTCTAACTACTAGAAAGGTGTACAGTTAAGACAAACAGACAAACAAGATTAAACTAGTGATAACAATAGATAAGAAGGCCAACAGAACAACTACAAAGAAATCAAATTAGAGTCTAGAAATTCCTAACCAATTACTAGCAAAAAAACTATCCAGGCAGATTCACTAAAATAATTATAGACAATCAAGAATTAGACTTAAACTAACACAAACTAATCGGATACTAACAAGGGAGACAGAGATATTAAACGAAGAACAGGAGGTACCAACTTCCGATTAGTGCGAAACCTGATGAATCGTCGTAAATGTCACGGTCGTGCTGCCGTAGTAACCTTAGTTAATTTCCCACTACCTCCAACCTATTTTGACGTCCGCCACACGCTCTGATCCAATAGTGAATACCTGCAAAAACAGAAGGGAAAACCAAAGGGGAAAAATGGGAGGAAGAACAGAGGTATGCGAAGAAAATCCCAAATAACAATTCACTAAAAAGATTGCAAAAAAATTGAAGAAATGATAACAAGTGCTCTTCTCAGCTGAAAATCCAACTAAACTCTACTCTGGAAAGTACTCCTCTGTACCATGTACCAAGATCTCCGTTTGAATTAGCAGAGAAATTGTTGCGCTGTGGATCTTCTTAGTACAAATTGTATCCTAATTTTAAAATAAATTCTTCTAAATTCTTGGCAGATCACCAAAAGTTTTATGAGAAATTTTGCCAACACGTTTTTTCTTCAAAATTCATTCAAGATGATGGAGAAGAAGAACGGGAAGAGGAGCAAAAGTTCTAGCGGATGTCTATATTTGCTAACTTATTTTTTTTAATTGCATATCACAACATTACAAAATAATAAATCTCTTAACATGAACCAAAAGTAAAGATGTTATGGTTATAACACAAGTATCCACTAGTTCATTCAAGTAATTATAGGATTTGATGAATGTTAAGTCATATTTGATATATTAGAATTAAGAATGGCAAGTTACTTATTTGGCTACTCGGAAAAAATAATTATATTTGCTAGCCAAATCTATACTATATTAAAAATACGAAGACCCTTAGCGACATGTCATTCGCTTTTTTTATCCTTTAAAAATAGAATTCTGATCGCGCCCAACTATGCCTCCTAAGAGGTCTAGCGGTCGCTGCAAATATAATCCGATCTAAGAGTCCTGAGTCGAATCCTATAGAGAACTAAGGTTTAGCTACAAGTGTTTACTATCACTAAAAAGACAAGCTTGAACAATTCCTAAGTTATAAATATTAAGATTCTTATGTCTAACTAATTAACTAACAACTTGAAGTAGTAAATTAACAACTAGATATACTAAGGGTTGGAGACAAGATTAAGGAGACCTGGAGTTATGATTTCCCCAATTGTCGGAATCCTTCCCGCTACGTCTCCTATAATATCGCCTAAGTATTCTCTACCGATCATGAGTACTTCGGGTGTCGTAATTCTCTTCCGAGCAACTACCACAATTTACTAGACGTATTATTTCGGACTACACTAGCTGGCACTAGTTCACCGCCCACTAAGATCACACCAAGGTTTTGTTATTCCTAATCCCACCTTTAAACCCTCTATATTGATTCCTCATATACGTTTGGAGTGATGTTGTTCAACAACTACCTAAATGTATACCATTTTCCAAGCAATATACACTAAATAGGCACTGTAAATTGATGGTCATTCAATCAACAACAATAAACACGTAGTTGAACGAGTTAAAAAATTCAATAGCTCAATTATATAAAAACTAACAAAGAATTTATCCTACAAAAGGTTCCATTAAAATCCTACATAACAAATTATCTATTCATAATAATATGTAAAATTACAATACTAAATTCATAACCAATAACGGAAAATTGGAAGAGAAAGTGAGAAACTCGTAAAAGAATTCTCTGCCTTGCTCCTAGCGTGTTCTTACCTCATTAGGTCGAATCCCCTCTCAAAAACGTCCAATTTCCTCCTCTTAGACATGTTTAGGGAGTATTATAAGCTAGGGTAGAAGTCTCCAAGTCCAAAATTGAGTAGAAAATAATTTATTCGTGGACTGGGGAACTAGGCTATAAGCCAGGCGAGGCCTGGTCTATAGCACATCATAAGCCAGGCGAAGCCTGGTCTAAAGCCTGGTGGAGCCCACCTCAAGCCAGGCGAGCCGAGGTCTATAGCGACGAGCAACATGCTATAGAGCTGGCAACGCCTGGTCTGGCGTCGGACTTGGGTACTTCGTGCCTTTGTGCTCTTTTCTTGTATTTTCGTCCTCTTTTCATACAACCTTCACTCGTTTTTATCTTCTGATGCTCCTACAAATAAAACAACATAATTTAGCTCAAATATCGCACAATTAATCACTAAACTAACAACATGTAAGGCGAGTAATGTACTAAAAATATAATATTATGGCCAAACATCAAGTTCACACTGGGCAAAATAGTCATTCTAATTAATTTTCTAATATTTACGAATAGTCATTCTAATTAATTCTCTAATATTTACGAATCGTCATTTAATTTTACTAGAAATTTTTTCTTATTTAAAATGTATAAGAACTCGTAATATTTAGGAATTTAAAAGTAATAAAGTCTTACCTTATTAAATTTATTTCCTCATTGAAATTAACATACTTTTCATATTGAGATAAGGACTTATATTCTTTGATGGGAGTGGAACTCAATTGAGGGACAAAGAGTAGGTTTATTATTTAAAATTTTAAACCGAAAGATCCAAACGCCATTAGATATGTATTATATTTTGAATTTTAGTTTTGAATTAAAGAATTAGTTTTGAAATTTAAAAGAAGAATTTATTGGTTTTAAATTTTTGATGTCTTATATACTTCATGTGTATTCTGACTCATGATTATTTTTAGTTATTAATACAACAATGAAACTCGTGATAAATATTTGTATTAATAGTAAGATTCTCATGACAAAGTCATCCAAATAATAAAAGAGATCATATTTTAGCAAAATTATTCGTGAATTAAGAGAGATAATATCCAATCAATTGAATTCAAGTATCGTCACTAAATATTATCAATGAATAACTTTTAATTAGTTAACTATACCTCGCTTTAATAATTCAAAAAATTTATGCATACGTAGATAAAAATAGATATCTTAAACACATTACATGAAATGTTAATAGAATTTTATACCTTTTGAGAATTATATTATATAACGATACCTTCATGTTGGTTAAGATAATGATAATAATAAATATTAGTTTTTTACCTTAATTTTATGATAACCATTTTATTTTTTCTAGAAACACATGTAGTTGGGTTTAAATAATATCCATCCAATTAAATTCACTACAACATTATGCATATATAGCTACGAATTTCATCGTAGCTAAATATGAAAATTTTTGTGGCTAAACACTTTAGCCACAATATCTTTTTCCGTAGCATTCGTAGCAAAATATAGTGTAACTAAAAGTCAGCTATAAACTTTACATGTTCCGTGGCTAACAACTAATACTTGTTGCTATGAAATATATACTTATAGTAAATAATCTTTTTTTTTTTGGCCACGGCGAATCTGTAGCGATTTTTATATTGTAGGCCACAAGGTGTTCTACTGTGGCAAAAGATTTGATTTGGTTGCCATGGAAATTCAAATTTTGTGGCTATTTTCATAGTTTAGTCTCGTGGCAATAGTACTCATATTTAGCTACGATTTCAAAAATTTATAGTTATAAATTAAAGTATTTGCCACAAACAATTTTGTTAGTAGATAAGAACCCATTCTTTTTTCTATGAAATATATACAATTATAGCTAAATATTTTCTTTATTTGCTACGAAAATTAAAAATTTATAACCATATTTTTTGTTACGTGGCAATTATATATATGCTGCATAAGTAGCTACAAAATAAAAATTGCATTTCTACAAATTTGAGAATTTGCCACAAGCATTAATAGTCACAAGAAATTTTATAATGTAACTAAGAATCCAAAATTTTTAGATTCCAAAACGGGTTTCAAGTTACACATAATTACAATACATAATTCTTCTATGACACTAATTGTAGTACTAGAAATCTTGCTTGAGACCCAAAGCCATACAATCTTCTCATTTCTCTTTTGCCATTGTCTTCAATTGCACCTTAGCTTGATCATCATCAGTCATAGCTTGTAAATGATACTCTATGATTTCACATAATTGCCTGTCAATTTTAANATATATATTCAGGAATAAGTATGTGTGTGTTATAATTATCTTTTCAATGAAAATTTTTAAATCCATAACAAAGAAACCTGAGGCAAGAAACTTAATATTAAAACGAACAGCAACATGCCTAAGAAATAGCAAGAGTTCATTCAAGTAAAAAAAACACAAATATTTAGTCAAAATAATCGACTGAAAATTAATTTCTTAGTGATATATTAATCTAACAATGTGCATAAAGATTCAAGCTTTTCTCTTCCCAATTAACTAAGAAAAGGAATAAAGATGCTTCTACCAAATCAAGCATAAGTTTCAAATGACAAAGTATGAAGTACACATTAAAAACAATAAAGAGGAACAAAGAAATAACCAAAAAAAGCATATCATAGACAGTGACAAAGAGTGAGATATAAAAAGGAAACAAATATTTGCTCTAAACGCCTTGACCTTTATCCCCGTTGAGCCTTTCTTTCTCATTCAAATGTGTTGACGAGGGAAGTGGGGAAGGTGGGGAGGGGTGTGACGGTTGGAGAGAGCAACGACGTGAGAGCTTAGGTTTTGGAGACTTAAGGCTTGGAAAACTGGATCCTTTTCTTGTTATATTTATACATATTTTTACCTTCTTTACTTTTCTATTATATAAACGGGAGTTGGGGTAGGACGAACACAGCTCTTGATTATAG